CGACCCCCCTCCCCCCAGCCAAAACCCGCATACCTAGCTGCTCGCCGCTGCTGTTCACCCAGACCATCGACCATCGACCAGGGGTACTTCGTTCTTTTCTTGCCTCTCTTTTTTCCGATCTCATTCTGTCGTACTTTTCCGATATACTTACTAGGGTACTCGCCCATCACCACCTTCGTTGATCAACTCTCGTTATCCTTGATTCGTGTCCGCAGGTAAAAACACCGCCGACCTGTCACTCCACGGTAAGCAACCAGGAGCAAGTAATTAACTCGACGCACCCTACGGCGGCATTCGTTGATCTGCCATCAGCAAAACATATCGACCAGGGAGCCCTGATATACCCATGAACTGCTCATAATTTCCTCTCCCCAAGTCACTCGCTCAAGGAGACAGATCCTCCTCTTGAATCTCAACCGACGCGAGGCGTCTTGGACTTTCGTTATACCATAATACCAGAAACGAATCGTCACCATGGGTTTGGGAAGTTATTTCAAGGCAAAAAAGCCGGAACCAGTGGGAGAGGTTTCGGAAAAGCCTGTCTCGACCTCATCGCAACCAAGTTACAATATGGAATTGCAACCTCCCCAGTCCAGATTTGGTTCATCGAGGAATTCTCTTTCCAACCGATCAACACAGAGTTCGACTTTCCTGGATGACATCAAGCATGAGGTGATGGTAAACTACCTTTACCAACAGCAATGCTCGCAACTCTGGGTCAGTGACGGAAGTGGAGAGATAGAAGGTGTTTTATTGAGAAAGTCCAAAAACACATACATGGCTTGTCCGCCACAACTGGGCAATTCCCCATTCGCTGCAGCTTGTGCAGCACTTAATGTTCAAGTAGGAATATCCAATATCCTTTTTGAGAATACAACTGACCTTCTAGTGTGCAATGACGGTCAATTCGAGAGTGATCAAAACCTTCCTTCAATGGTCGCCTGATGCTGTAGACGTCCCCTTACTTAATGGTCTACGCATTCAGATTCTTCCAACAATTGAAGATCTTCCTCGTGCTCGCAAACATCAATTCGCAGCCTTTGTTGCCTCAGACGCTTTGTTGGTTGTTTGGGATGACGATGCCTTACACTTGGTTCAGCGTGCCAAAGCTATCGAGTCGGAATTAATGGAACTTGTTTGGAAAACTAACGACGGCGAGGACGAAGAAAACAAGGAAGCGACTGCCGCAGTCTATGAGATTGACGAAGAAAGTGGAGAGATCATCCCAGAAAAGCGTGGATTGCACTTGCAAAATACCATTCTGGTTGCTCTGACGCTGATTCTGATCATGACATCGCTGGGCGCTGGAGCTCGAGAACTCGCCAAGGGAGTGGCCGCTGATGGAAAATACACTCGACTGGCACTCCTGTCCTTGATTCCGGTTCAAATCTTCTTCACCCTCTTCTTTGCGCAAGTCATCGTTGGATGTTTGGCTCAACTGTTCGGTCCCGTTCGACAGTTGACCGTCAACTCAAAGTTCTACTCGGCTCGTGCACCACCACGAATCCAGGGGCAAACCCTTCCTCACATCACCATTCAATGCCCTGTATACAAGGAGGGTCTGAGCTCTGTCATCGCACCCACTGTCAAATCCATCAAGCAAGCCATATCAACTTATGAATTGCAAGGTGGATCTGCCAACATGTTTATAAACGATGACGGTCTTCAAATCATTGATGAGGAGGAACGACGTGCCAGAATCGAGTTCTATGCTGATCACAGCATTGGATGGGTAGCCAGACCAAAGCACGGCGACAACTTTATCAGAAAAGGAAAATGTAAGCTCCCAACGCCGAATCACTTGACCATTGCTAACAGCCTGTAGTCAAAAAGGTACGAGTTTTGAAGTTGTGATGTTGCCGAGAATATTACCACATTCCTCCGCGCTTAGCGGGATTAATCCTAGTCCACCCAACAATCATGTGAACAGAACACTAACATTTCGGTCCAATAGGCTTCAAACATGAACTTCGCTCTCCACATCTCCTGTATGGTTGAAGAGAAATTATGTTTAATTCAACGACCAGTCGATTGGACTCAAGCAGATGAAGCTCAAGCTTACGAAAGATGTTTGAAAGAAGCTCTCGAAGAAAATGGACGTGCTTGGGCTGACGGAAATATTCGTGTCGGTGATTACATCTTGTTGAGTACGTACCTTGTTGGCTTGAAGTATATGTGGTGAATGCTGACAAGACTAGTTGACTCTGATACTCGTGTTCCTGCCGATTGCTTACTGGATGCCTGCTCTGAAATGGAACAATCTCCCGAAGTCGGTATCATGCAATTCTCCTCCGGTGTCATGCAAGTCGTACACACCTACTTTGAAAATGGTATTACTTTCTTCACCAACCTCATCTACACGGCTATTCGATACACTGTCTCCAACGGCGATGTTGCTCCTTTCGTCGGACACAATGCTATTCTCCGCTGGTCTGCCATTCAACAAGTTTCATATACTGATGAGGACGGATATGAAAAGTTCTGGTCTGAATCTCACGTGTCTGAAGATTTCGATATGTCTCTACGTCTCCAAGTTAATGGCTACACCATTCGTCTCGCCGCTTGGGCTGGTGATGGATTCAAGGAAGGTGTCTCGCTTACTGTGTATGATGAACTTGCACGATGGGAAAAATACGCATACGGATGCAACGAACTCCTTTTCTATCCAATCCGCAAATGGATCTACAAAGGGCCATTCACACCCCTTTTCCGAAAATTCTTGTTCTCCAACATTCGATTCACATCCAAGGTCACCATTATCTCTTACATTGGCACCTATTATGCTATTGGAGCTGCCTGGATCATGACAACAGCCAACTATTTCGCAATCGGTTGGTTTAACGGTTACTTGGAGAAATACTATGTCGATTCATGGAAAGTTTGGTTCTCGATCATCATCGTCTTCAACGGGCTTGGAAACATCGCGCTCGCAGTCATGCGATACAGAATCGGCGAACGATCCCTTCTTTATGCGCTTTTCGAGAACTTCAAATGGACCATCATGTTGGCCATTTTCTTGGGAGGTCTTTCGCTTCACGTCTCACAAGCTTTACTCGCGCACATGTTTGAGATTGACATGACGTGGGGTGCTACATCTAAAGAAGCGGAATTCTCCAACTTCTTCATTGAAGTTCCCAAGGTGCTAAAGAAGTTCAAGTTCTCCATGATCTTTTCGATCCTCGGCATAGCCGGTATGATTATCCTTGCGACCGCCCCCTTCGTCCCCTACGATTGGAAGATCAAGGATTTCGTCGCCATTCTCCCCATGGCTACGGTCACGGCTAGTCATTTGCTCTTGCCACTGGCGCTGAATCCTGCTTTGATGACTTTCTCGTGGTAGATAGATACAGGTAGCTAGCTGTAACGGGAGGAAATCTTTTTTCTTCTTCTTCTTTCCGATGATTGAAATTTGCATAGGTGTCTTATGGGTAGAAAATATGGAGAGTTTTTTTTGGTGATGATGGTCTTTTTTTACTTTCATTCATTTGTATATGGTGGCTTCTGCAAAGATGGCTTAATTTATTTGATCGTTTTTTTTTTTCTTCTTTCTTCTTTGTTTGCATGGAATATGTAACTTTTCTGAAGATAGATATTAATTGTTGATCCTCTTTTTTTCTCTCTTTTGCTGATTTTGTGATGGAGGGGATTGTGAGATTCTTCTTTTTTGATTCTTTCTTTTTTTTTCGCTTTTTTTTCTCTCGTTCCTTTTCGTCTTTACAATGGAAGAGATCAAGCAATCAATCAATAGACAGGAGAGAAACGAGATCTTTATCTTATCTGTTCGTTCGCGACCTGAGCTACTCTTTTTTTTCTTCGGTCTTTACAGTTTTTTTGATTTTCTTTTCTTTTACTTTATATATACATTTTACACTCCTTTTTTTTAGGGTGGATGGGTTAGTAGGGCATTGGATTGGGGATATTATGATCATGTGATGGATGAGGGGGTTAGGGGTTAAGCACACTGGGGATGGGGGAACTTGGGGGCAGGTGCATATATAATGTCTAAGTTCTTTTTTGGGGGGGGGAATAGAGTACTGTCGTTACTTTTACTTTTGCTTATCTTGTCTTCTTGTCTCTGTTTGCGACAGTGTGAATTTTATTTGTGTTGAAAGTGAGAGGTGAGGTTGGTGTGAATTTCTGCGGGGATTGGGTGGTGGTGATGGGTATTGGGTTTATGATCTTTCTTGGCTGCCGTTTGAGAGGGGTTTCTATGGGGGTTTGGGAGGTGTGGATGTTTGGGGAGAAAGGGGTGTGGGGATGTTGGGTGGAGAAGTTGGGTATGGGGGATGGAGGGATGGGGGAGGTGAGGTTGGGTGAGGAGGTTTGGGTAAGGAAGTTTGGGTAAGGAAGTTTGGGTATGATACTGTAGTTCTTTTAGTGGGTATGATGTTATGATTTGTTGTGATGTTATGATGTGTATTTGGGTTTAATACTCGGTTAATCTCTCTCCATGCTTTCTTTTTCGAGACATCGGTATTAGTAGAAATTATTCCGTGTTTTTTTATTNGGGGGGGGGGAGGAGGAGGTGGCTGGTTTTTGAGACATGTTTTTGTTTTAGTGAGGAAAGGGAAGTGGAAGTTGGGTGGAGATTATGATGGGAAGGGTTCAGGTTGTCTCTCTTTGGTTTTTAAATTTCTGATGATGAAGGTGATACGAGTAGACATTAAGATGAAGATAGTGTAAGATGAATATACTAGGGGTTTAGGTACTGTACAGCCCCTTTGCAAGAGGGGCAAGATGTTTTGCGACCCCTAGAAACTGTAGGAATAGGTAAAATACCCTCCCTGTAATACACTAGTAAGATACCCTAGGATCTTGTTACTTTTGCGAAGGGGCTGTATGGTGGAAATACGGTTATGATATCGGAGAATTGATTTGGTGTTCCGCAGTGGTGGGATGAGATCTCGACTGCTTTTTCTGGAAATATGGGTCTGGGTATACCGGTATCCCGATTTGGTTTACCCCTTTCTCTCCTCCTATTCAACAACTACATAGATACTCGTACCGTATTATCTTACGATTGTAAGCATATTCATCTCTCCAGGGGTATTTATCAACACCCTATCCTATTTATTACTTATCTCCTCACCACATAGCACAACGCATCCTGCATACCCATCTCACTAGGTAGGGTAATCTTATCTGCATCGGCGACATCTCCATTGGGCGTCTGTCCATGCCGCTTTTCCGACCTTCCCACCGCTAACGCCAAAATGATACAAGAACCTCGTATCTGTAGGTTGTATGATAAGGAAAGGAAAATAACTTGGTAGGAATCCTACCTATAAGGTTAAGTTTTTCTGGAAAAAAGGCCAGTGAGGATGTGAGTATCGGCAGATAGATAGATAACAGGGATTGGGTTGTGTGGATGTGAGGAAGGTTGTGGTGCGTTGTTTTTGATGTACGGGTTTATTTTCTGAATTTGGTTTGGAGCTTGCTTATACGCAGTGGAAGCTTGCACATGTTTCTTTGTGTTACGCGTGGTGGAAAGTAAGTGGCGGAGCGGATTGGGAAAGCCCTTTTGGTTTTGAGAGTGGGCGCCTAAAGTGGCTTGATAGATATGCAGGAATCCGCGAAGTGGTGAGTGGAGCTAGGATTGGAGTATTATCTGATTATAGAATACCCTTGGTTGAAGATCTGGTATTTTCCAGTGGATATTCGTGAGTCTTGGAAGTTGGACCCTCTTTGCGTTCACGTGTACTTGGCGTGGGTGGGGGTGGAGATTCCGATATTCTGGTTATCTTCAATTATCGTGTTGGTGTTGATTTGCGTTGCTTGCCGAATGTAATTTACCACTGTTGATGAGAGATAGGCAATTCTGCAGTACAACGTGGCATGGAGATTTCTGCTGATGGTGTCTTTTTTTTCTTTCGATGGTGTGTGAGCCGTTGAAACTATAATCCGTAAATATCCCTATTCGAGAGAAAGTATTGGGACAGAGTGCCGTACATGCAAGGCTTACTTTAGGAAGCCATTACTCGTTTTCTTCCGAAGCGAAGCGAATAAGCTCGTGTTTATCGATGATCTGTGCCAGGCGGTTGATCTCGCCAGGCACATCACTCCACCCGGGTTTTCCTCCCACCCCCTGCCGTCTGTGCTTCCCCTGCCCCTGATTGCTCTCCTCGCCTCGCTCCACCACATGTACAGTCCCAGGCGCTTCCTCCCTCGCACCTTCCCAACCAACAGAAAGAGGTGGCAGCGCAAGGCATAGAAACCCCCTGCAAAGGCACCACTGTAGATCACCAACATCGATAATGACCCTGTCGGCCAATTCACGGTATCTCCTTGCCTCGACATTTTTTTCTTCCAACAATCCTCACTTGGTTCGAATGTTGTCATTGCTCTCTCGCTACTTGCAACCGCGCCGTTTGTTGTTGTTTAGACAACGTTACTGTCGCTTCTGAAACTCTTGCCTTTCCGTTTGCAATTGCTTTAATAAATTGATCGCTGTAGTCCACCGGAAGAGGAGCTCTCCCAAAAATGAAGTGCCAAAGTTGGATTGCCGCCATTGCGACGGTAGCAAGCTTATATATATCTGGAACGAGAGCGCAGACAGAAATACCTGATTTGGGTACCTTGTTAGCCGGCCAGAAGAATTTGACTACTTTCTATGGATTAATTCAGGTACGTGATACGAAAACGGTGGTGGATGATGATCACGAAGATATTTTGGGATTGGGGAAACTATTGAAGAGGCTGAGTTTCTGTGCAATGGATATTTTCATTGCTGCAGGAAGTCAACTTTCGGGGGTTGGCAAGCTATGGGGCCGATTGTTCATTTTCGGGACAAGAAATGAGGGAGCATTATTGGATTCTGCAATGCTACGTTTGGGACTACAATAGTGCTGACGATTATGAATAGAAATATCCAAATATCTTGTTATCCTTACCTTCAACAAACGGAGTAACAGTAAGCATGAACAATCCGATAAATTGGGAATATGCTAACTTTGTTAGATCCTCGCCCCAAATAACGATGCCTTTGACAAAATCCCATATTCGGAACTCAAGTCCGCATTTGAGAAGAATGACCAAGACCTAATTACGAATATCCTCCAATACCACATTCTCACAGGTCCCAGAACGGCAGCCCAATTGAATCCGGGGGATTCAACATTCATACCTACACTGTTGACAAGTCCAGCATGGACTTCTGTAAAGGGAGGACAAAGAGTGGAGAATATTAAGCAAAACGGAGATGTTGTAATATTTGTTAGTGGAAGGGGAACTCATACTACTGTTACACAGAAGGTAGGTTCTGCTTATGTGAAGACCGTGATTATGGTCAATTAACATGACGAATAGGATCTCATGTTCACTGGAGGGGTCATTCAAGTTCTCGACTCACTACTGATCCCACCCGCCAATCTTACTGACACTTTCGCTGCATTCAACCTAACCGCTTACGAAGGCGCACTTTACCAAACCAAAAAGACAGACCCCTACACAAAAACCGCAAATAGCACGTTCTTCGTCCCCGACAATGATGCATTTCAAGCTCTCGGTCCAGCAATTAGCGATATGACGACGGAGCAACTGGCAGCCGTTTTGGATTACCATACTATCCCAGGACAAGTTATTTACTCCACAAGTCTCACCAACGGGAGCGTTTTCACCACTGCCCAAGGAGGAAACATCACAGTCAGACAAGCAGGAAACACATTATACATCAATTCCGCTCCACTGGGCGCCACAGACATCCTGCTAAAGAATGGAGTCTTACATGTTCTTCAGAATGTCCTCAATCCCGCAGGACCCGGCGCGACACCCAACCCACAAATCGGTGAACAAGGTGAGGTTTTTGCTTCGGCATCCAAGGCTCAGAGTTTGCCATTTACTTCCGCCATTCCATGCACCAGTGCTTGTCCGACGACGAGTACTAGCGCATCCATGAGCGGAAGTGGGGGAGTGACAGCTGGGGGATCGAGACCTACGAGTACTGGCAAAGGTGCGGCGGGTGCGATGAGTTCGAGTAAGGCTCTTGGGGTGGCGATGGCGAGGGAGACGGGTTTTGGGGCTGCGGGATTGATGGTCGCGCTTGGGGGTGCGGTGATGATGATTTAGAGATGATGAAGTATGCGCTATACATGTATATATTGAGAATCAGCATGTGGATGGGGTTATACTATAGGGTATTGGATTGGGATTTTGTGTGTTGAGATTTAGATGTTATTATGTCGCTTGTGGCTACGCAAGATAAAGGGGCAGGGAGAGATGAGCCAGCTAGCTATATTAATGTAATATTCATAAGCGCCTTGAGAAATTGTTAGTATTTCCTTGCTATCATTCATTCATATGTGGCCCATGGATCTCAACCAAACCTATTTTTCTAGCCATATTGTGATGGTAAACAAGAAAAGTAACGATAAATCTCTTCCTCGTTGTTCTACATTTTGATTCTAATTCCTTTCTGATTCACTCTATGTACGTACGTATAGATTTATTAAGCGATTAGCGAACATATTTAGGATTCCATGGAGATGATCACCTTATTATAAGATGTTGTTTCTGGTAGATCTAAGGATGTCGGGGTTTAGAGTATTACTTTACTACTAAAGTGTGATTTGGTGTTGTTATTTCGTGTTGTGTTTGTTATTATGAAGTTGGATTGAAATGGTTTGAAATTGATGGGGAAAAAAGGGGGGGAAAGGGGGGGAGAGGGGCGTTGCTGAAAGACATTCACTTGTTATACATATTATTTGGGTGAGAATTTGTAAGCGAAGGTGAATTCACTTAACTTGCTGTGAAAAAAGGGGGGCAATTGTTAAAAGCCATTCACTTTTTTCATATATTATTTAGGCGAGAATCATTAAGCGAAGTAGGGGATGATTACTGGTTCAAAGTTTTTTCAACGTAATTTGTGATGATGGTGAATCCACTTTAGAATTCAATCATGAGATTCTGGTATTCACTTGGTTCTAATTAGCTCTATTCAACCTATGGAACTGCATAGAAAATACAACCTAGTTCTGAGTTCTAGTTCCAAAACTTTGACTACATACCACCTCATTCTAACGACTGAGTACCAGATATATATTCAACCATAACATCAAGACTCCAGATTCACATCTTTCCATAGTTTACGTCTTTAACATCGTATTTATTGCCTCGCTAGCATCCACAAAGATGTCTGCTCCCAGTGGATCCACAAACCACTGGAGAGCAAAACGCAATACAGAACATCATCAAAAAGGAGAAATGAGCCAAAGGTTCGACACTAGAGATAGACGAACCCATAGACAAAGCGAAACCACAGAAGAGAACCCAGAACCCAACTTGTCCATAGGATACGAGGTCGATAACTTGAACTTAGGATACGACGTGTAGCTAAGGACTTCTATAGTGGTAGGTCTACTAATATCAAATTATAAGTTGAGTATAAACGGAGATCTTCTACATTGTATTCGATACTTCTACCCACTATAATAGCTTTCATGAAGGTAGATTTCCTGATATCAAATTCGATTTTTGAATCAAGATGAATCCTGAAAGATTTAGACACACTACAGAACATCCCCATACCACACAAAGACCCCTCTCACACGTCGGGATTCACATCTTAAAGCCATCCATCATCAATCTCAATACCGTCACCCTCACCACCAGTTCCTCAATATCCCTAGAACCCATTCAGAACCCCCCATCTCCCCACACATCATATGACCACCCAACCAACTCTCCCACACCAGATTCCCACGAAAGCCCGAGGGAGACCTTCAACCCCCAAGGGGCATCTAGAAGATACGCAAACGAAGGAAGGACGAAGAGAACACATTCTAAGAAAGTGCTTCTTTGAATCCTTGTGTATTACGGGATCCTACTGGTGAATTTTGACGGGGTAGGGGTTTAAATCTACGATGGTGTATACTGTGGCTTGTGTCCTTGTGGTATATTTTATTTTGCGGCGTCAAGTAAGTTACCGCGGATTCTTGGGCTGTTGTTCGCCTACACTGGATGGATGCGAGCGAGGGTTGAGGAAGCTACATGAGAGACAGTGTTGCGCTTGATGGGTCTCGGAAGGTGAGGTATGGGAGCTGGTGAAGTGGGATTATTCAGCTGGGGTTGTGGGTGAGACAACCAGTGGGCTCGCTTCGAGATGATTGAAGGGGGTCGGTCGCTATTTGGCTCAGGGTAAAGGGGTTTTTAGGTTGACGTTGACGTATTTTCCATGGACGGGGTTACTTTTACCAAAGGGATTCTTCAAAGAGGTAGGTCAATACACAGTTACCGAAGAACACTGCTTATCCTCTGAAACTCCAAATTCCGCGAATGGTAGCGTATTATAAAATCTGTTCCTTTTCTATGCTGATATACTAAACTTGGGACATATGTCAAACAAGTCCCCATGCTAATCCAACTCAACTCGCCACAAGCAAAATTATAGTTACACTATTTATCTCATGAAAAAATATACATTCGCCGAGGAATGCACTCTAGAAGAGAAGTAGTCGTTCGTTGAATCTCCACAACACGACACTCTATCGCACATCCCCTCAACGCTTTTGCGACTTCCCGCTTTCCTTGGGTGACTCTCGCAAGGAGTCCTTTGAAGCTCTGGGTTTGAACCACCCCCCTCGGTCCCACTTCTCGCGACCATACAATAGCAATTCTCGAACCTGGTGGTCTTGAATGGCCGCCAGAATTGCCTCCAATCTTTGGAAATCAATGGGCTTCAATATCCAGCCGTCGAATCCGATATTCAAGTAATCGTCCAAGGCGTTCTCTGTGAGAGAGGCAGACACCGCGATAATTGGAACCCGACCGTATGTCGCAGCGCGACTCGATATCTTTGGTTTCTGCTCCGACTCAAATTCTCTGATAAGACGTGTTGATTTGGCTCCATCAACCAATGGCATCTTGGAAAGAACGATTAGTCGAACAATAACTCGGTTAGTCGAACAATAACTTATATGGTGCTGAACATACCTGTAAATCCATAAGAATAACATCAAAGGCCTCTGGATTTCTCCGGAACGTATCCGCACAAGCTTGGCCATCAACCGTAACTTTTACAGTATGCCCTCTCTTGACTAGCCTCGTTTCCAATAATCGACTGTTCAACGGGTTGTCTTCCGCAACCAAAACATGAAACTTGGGCAATTTCACACCTGATTCCGGAAATGGATTGCGACTCATGGTAGGACTGATGGTAGCGCTGCTGCTTCGCGAGCTCGACGCGGTGACTTGCGAAGTTGAAGATGCTCTTTTGACCTTTGGAGGAACTGTTTGTAATGTTAATTGGCCAAAACTTGGTGCCTCTGGTGATTCTCGCCAAGGTATCGCAAGAGGGTCCCTTCCTGCGAGCTCACTCGGTGGCGTTGGTGGTGATAACAATCCAATTGAACCTTGCCCCACGGTCTTAACCTGAAGGGCATTTCGAAATGGTATTTTGATTGATACCCGTGTACCCTTGCCGAGCTCTGAGGACATGCTCATCTGACCACGGTTGAGCCTTACAAATCTTGCAGTGAATGCAAGACCAAGACCGATGTATTTTGGTGCGGGTGTTTCTGAAGCCTTTTCCTTTTCCTTTTCCTCCTCGTCCTTGGTTGCTTCAAAGGCTTCGTCTTCGTCCAGGACTTGCTCAAGATCCTGGAAGATCCTATCGAGTTCTTGCTCGCAAAGACCCGCTCCTTGATCCTGAAATGATATTTCCACCAATGTGTTACCGTCTGTGGAGCCTAGTTTTTTCATCTCAATACTGATGACTTTACTATTGGTACCATGTTCAAAGGAGTTGGTCAGGAGGTTGAGCAAAACTTGTCGGAGACCTGCAGGATCGCACCGAACAACGTTGGGTATCGCTTTGTCGTCGTGAAATTCGATCGGCATGCCGCGTCGCTTCGATTCATCACCGAACGCTACCATAAGTTCGGAAATCATCTTCCTCAAATTGACATTATCCTCGTGTATTTTGAAGTCTATATCTTCAACCTCAGTCAGGCTTAAAAGATCATTGACCACAAAGACCAATGCCTTTGATGCTTGCAATGATCTAAACAAATGTTGTCGTGCTCGCTCATCTAATGGCTCTTCGAGAGCAACTTCTAAGTAATTGATAATGCTATTCAAAGGCGTTCGTACTATTTCGTTTTAGTGACCTGAACCAATTCGGGGCAATTTAAAAATCGTACCTTCATGTCCAGCATTGCGAATCAGAAGGCGGGTCATGCGGTTTCTTCGAAAAATCGAGTCTTTCTGTCTCCATACCTCAATAAATCTGCCGTAAAGTGTGCTCAAGACCGCGGCAGATTCGACTGTGGGAGATCAGCTCATGATTCATGATAACATTGCTTAGCAGAGGAAAGTTGGATTTTATTACGTAGTTTGATGGTCTCAATCGTGTCTTCTAAAACACTATCGCACTTCAGAGGGCCACTAGCCCGCGAATGAAAGATGTGACCAAAGAGAAAAGAGACCTACTTTGATCTTCAGTCCATTCACGACTAGTTCCTATTACCTGCTGGGTCCACCTCTGGAACGAACTCCTTGGCTCTAGGTAAGCCGTACCGGGGCGTATCTTTTTCTCATTCGGATTCCCCGCCCAAAGAATCTCCTTTTCCTTTGTTTTTCGGAAAAAGACGAGAAAGTCTACACCGTTCAATGCCAAGGGCACAACGAGCATTCCAACAAGAACAAGGAACTTCATTCCAGCCGCTATATCTGGACAGTCTTTCTTGACATTTTGTGTGGCGAATATTCCGGTGAACGTTTTCTGACGGATATACTGAAGAAGGGCGACAGCCTCGTTATACGCACAAAGTTTGCCGATCGTTCTTGCCTCGCCTTTAATCGCCAAAAATCCAAAGTCGGCGTTGAACATGTTCAAGAGGTCTGAAGAGGAGGCAGCGATAAAAGCAGTTGGCGATGCTCTTGTTGATGCCGCAGTAAGTGGTTTCCGAACCTTTATCCGAGCCTCGTAAAGTAGCTTCTCGATATGGACTGAACAATTTTCTCCTAAAGACCTACATAGCTCTCTAACAGGTAACGATACTCGCATTCCAAGGCCATAATTGTGGCAGCTTATCAACCCCCATAATTGATTGTCGACCATTAGTGAAATGGACATACATGACCTTACACCCATATTTCGGAGATATTTAAGATGGATTGGTGACATTGCTCGTAGATACGAGTGCTTGAGGTCCAACGGAGTTTCAGCATCTTCTTTGGTCCTGCACATGAGCCTTGCAGTTTCTTCTTCCCGGTCATACAGAACCCGAATCTTGTTAACGACATAAAGATCACGAGCCTGCTTAGGAATATCAGACGCAGGAAAATGAAGGTTGAGGTATGAATCTCGTGAAGCCTTCGCGTTGAAGTATTCGGATACCACACAGCCACTAATTAATGTCAGCCAAGTTCTCAAAGCTGTCAGACATTCCCTACGCTTTGGTCTCATCGAATTGATACACCATAACCCGGTCAAACCCTGTCAGCTCGTATACCAAGCCAACTGTAACATCCAGCAAAGATTGTAGCGTTGTAGCTTGGGCCAATTGTGTCTGCACTTCGCAGAGTATGTGGAACAATTCCATTGACCCGAGCTGTCTTCCACTCTCCCTGTTGATTCGGAGAGGTTTGCTTTTAAGCAAGTTTGGTTGGATTACTTCTGGTTCCGCAGCTTGGTCATCAGTTATTGGAATTGGGTTTGTGGGAAGACCAGGGGCAATGGCTTGAAAGACATCGTTCTTCGGTTCAAATTCGCATATAATGAGATCTGAGCCCGCATTACAGTGTATCGCGCAGAAAACTGGTTCAGGAGCTCCAAGTAAACTAGTAAGGGAAATGGTGAAAACATCTGGGTTGGTCCTCGCTGTCTCTTCCGGTTGACGAGTCCGTAATGATCTGGCCCGCTGGACAAACTCCGTTTTATCATCGTGGAATAGTATATCGGTAAAGCAGCGAAGATCAAAAAGGGCCTCTGGATCTAGGCCGGTGACCTGCTCCGAATTCTCACTGACAATGCGAACGATGAAAACACCATCTGGGTTCTCTCGGATCGCAATCAGGGCACCAAAATTCTGGATTGCTCCAGGAATATGAATAGGCTCGTCCTCGCACCGATATATCTTCTCACTAGTAGTTGATGAAGGCTTGGGGTGTTCCCCTTCTTTCCCTGATGTGCTCTCTATGTCGCTAGCACTTTCGGAACCGGTTGCTTTCTTGTCTTTCTTTTCTTGAAAATAGCTGAACCTATTTGTAAGGAAGAATTTTCCGGACGTCGTGACTGTATTTTCAGTATCTGTAGCAACATACTGGGACTCGAATGTATTGGCCGTCTCCGCCACTGTTATCAAGGTCTCTGGGTCTGGGGAATCCGTTTCTTCGCCACAGGATGATTGAGGTTTCGTCGAGGCCGGTTGCGGAGCGTTCTCTAGCGTAGCTGAATAAACATTTAGTCGACAAACAACAAAATATCCAAATCCACCACCGGGAGAGCTTACATTGAACCTGTATCCGAATGGGAAATACTCTCTCAATTCTCGTACCGTCCGAACTTGGAAGGGCTGAGACTTTATCATCGTTAGGCCTTTTGGTGCCCGTCGAAGAAAACATGGTCAGCTATTATCAAGATACCATCTCCAAGCTGGCGGTAGGTTCATAAAGGTGCCATCGAAGAACTGGTATTGCGATAGCCGCGAAAGTGACTCGTCAGGTATGGGCCACCGAGAGTTAAAGGCAATGCACAGTAGTACAGAGCGGCAGCCGGTAAAGTCCCAGGCACTGGAATTGACAGCTCGCTCGCCTCGGGACCGTCAACCAATCGAGTACTCGTAATGTGGTCGCTTCAATGGCTGGATCAGCAGACGGTGCAGGGCAGTTTTAGCTACGGAGTAGAGACAGAAGCGAGGGATGCCAGACCTCCTTCAGGCCTCTAATCCAAATATGAAGATCATATCCCGCACCGTATCAAGTTTCTCCGAACGGGTTTTCTACATCAGATGGCGATAACCAGATCCTTGTACATTCGTCCCTCCAGAAGCGCTATCCAGCCATCACCAGGCTGGTGAAAACCTTAATAGCAATCACCATCCAACGAGGGTCCCAGCTTTCCGCCGGGACGTAGGTACTGGGCACTCACTGTAAAGCCTCGTACCTCGTTCTCCAGACTTCTGATGGGTACAGAGGCTCCAGGGCCAGAGGGATCATGAACTGGGTTTCACCAGGCTCCGTCAAAGTAGGACCACGACGACCGCTTCAACGGCTCCCATTCCCCAGAGTCCCAAGCGGTGTTACTCCAGCGTGCCTGAGACCCTGAGCGAGCACGGCACACCGTCTGGCACCTGTACAAGTACCTGAGCCTCTCGGAGTATTGCTCTCCGGTCCCTAAGCCCCTAAGGCTAAGTGAAAAGGCTTCTTGGAGAACCCACTTCCCCTAAAAAAAACAAGCGATGAGTTGATGTCGCATGCGAGCATGCGAGACACAAAAAACATAAAAAAACTCTGATCATCAGGGACCTTGCAATTCTCTGGGTATCGTGAACTGTTGCCCACCCCAACTTCAACTTTGAACTTTCCGCTTCAGAACGGCATAATCCACTTGGATTGACTTTGGAGCCGGCCAGTCCCCATTTACTGTGGCCTGCATTGTCTCTGAGAGACGCGTGTCTTTCAGTGTTTGCAATCCTCGCCAAAGCCCAATCAAGTGTCTTTGGATGTTCTTCGCACTCGCGCTTCCTCTGCCGGGCACTGCCAAATGCTTCCTTCGTTCTGAATATGGAGCGTCCATAACATAGGCGTCTAGGCGAATCCGACGGGAAGCGGAACTGGAGAAAACTCCGCGGAAAGTTTACTATGAATCCTGCCTCTACTAGCTTTGCCATGGCTTCCGACTCGGAGGGGCAATGGCGTCATCAGAGGAAAAGGAAAATGACACCATTATCTGCTTTTCGTGGAGAAACATGGATGAACCAAGACCAGCAAAAAAAATTGGCAAGAAAAAAAATCAAAAAGTACTGTGAAAAGGGCAGCTGGTCAGAGGAATAGAAGAAGACGAGAGAAGCAAGGAATGTCGTTGAGGTAGACTCGCTTCCACACCCTTGGAATTCACCCGTGCTCTGAAAGAAAAGCGACGCTATTATTGTATAAAAGTTAGGTTTTGTTTATTACCTCGAACGCTTTTTCTATACAAGTAAACTCGTTACAAGGATAATGGCGGGGACAGGATTCTTAGGCCCTTAGGGATGTGGACGAGGATAGGGAGTTTTAGTGTGAAAGAATTTGGGACCTACAAACCTTAGGATGTCCTCATAGGCGCGGTAATTCTGAGGTTCTACTTACCTTCCCTTTAAGGCAAGAAAACTCGGGGCCCAAATCGTTAAGGATATATTCGAGGTTATCCTTAGGTTGAGGTTTATCTGTACCCCCACTCGACGGGTCAAGTATATGGTTACAACTGCGATTAGTCAATTTCTGGACTAGGTGTCACGAATCACGTGTTAGCACGTGGTTAGCGAAGACCAGGCGGCGTCCTGACAGGTCAAGCACTACCAGAATACTTATAGCAGATAGGGATGCTTAGGTTAGCTAAGCGATCCAGGGATTTCATAGCAATTATATCACGTGACCAGCAATGGTCGTTTGGTCGCGAGCGACCAGCAGCGATCATGAGGATGAAGGTTCTATATAAGACTGGCACGTCTGCCATTAGATAGGAGCTTCGTGCTCAACTTAGTTATCAATCTTATCATATTAGTTTGACATCTTTGATACAAGTAACGAGTTCACTTCCAAGTGAACAACCCGATAGTCTTCTTCTTATCATAGCATACCAACCAGCGAACACCCAGCCAAGTCTAGTTAGCCAGTTTGAGTATTCGTTACACTAGGCTATTTACAATCATTATCGCCCCCAACTTTAAACAGAAAACGCTTTATTCGAGCCATGTGACATGATGATTAGTCCCGGCAATAGTGCCCACTTTGCCCCATCAATTGCTAAACCCGGGAGACTAATCCTTTATCAAGCATTGTAATTTGTAGATCAACCCTCTTATCAATTTAGCAAGATTCAGTAACCCAATCGAATATTCCTATTGTCTACTTTAATGGCACAGTAAGAGATTGGGAAATGTTTTGCAGCTGAAACTCCCTCAATTTCCACCTTTCAAACTTCTCTAGCCACTCAAAAGAGCCTTGTTCGAAGTAGTCTTACATAGTCTAATACTTCGTTCCGCTTAACATAAAAACGAGACGGAAGATAGGCCGTACCACCGGGACCATACCAGTTGTCGGCCGCTGTCATCTAGACGCCACGGATCAGGACATGGCACTTCCATTTATAGAAACGATTGCCCCTCTTGTTCCAATTGGGCAAGTTCCTCCTCAAGTTCCTGTTCCTGGACTTGGTCATCGATCGAATGCATAACCTCTGTTCTTCCAGTACGATGGTAAATGGCAACAACTGCCCCACAGCTTCCACAACGATGTTCCATATCTTTGAACCAGGACGAGAAATATGGAATACAAAACAAACATAAAGGGAGGAAACAAAAGAAGCCTGCAGCGAGATGCCTTGTATTGGTTTCGATCAATCTGGGACTATATGTGAAGAATTAGTATGTATTTTGACCGCTGGCTAATGCGTTGTAATCATACACTTGTTCAAAGCAAACATCTCAAATGCCAACACCAGGTCCATAGCCGCTACTTATGATCCTGAAAGAAGAAACCTCGTACCTCGTAGCCTCCCTGGCCCCACAGAAGGTGCAATCAATAGGTGCTGCATCGTCCTTCAGATTTCGAAGAGGAGTAGCATATGGATATCCTTTCGGGTTTCTTGATTGTCGTGGACCTTTGGGAATGAGTGCCATTTGCATTGGATGGTCTGTTTGGCGGTCATCCTCTGAAGAACTTTGAGCACCATCGAGCCCCATGTGGTTGTTCCTAGTTTCTGTATGATGGAGACTGGTCTTTTGGCTTCTGTGGGCTGGTGCAGATCGGGTGGCAATGGGTTGTAGTGCAATATCTCCCTGAGTCGCAGCATCTTGGTAAGGCATCTTGCTCTGATGGATGTTATGATTTGATACGAAATGGTATATGGATTTGTTATGAGTAAGGTAGTGTCCAAAATTGATCGGAATGTGTGTAGTGTAATTGAACGACCTTGAAAGTTATCAAGCTTGAGAGCCTGGCTCTCTGAGCTTGTGGATGGATGCCACCACTGAAGGAAAGCGCAACCCAGACTTCCATGTCACTTCTGGTAGATTCAGTTCCATATTCTAGGCAGGAGCTACCGAGAAGCAGTAAAGGGGCATTTTCGATGTTGTTGAAAGCTCGGTCAAGAGATAGGTCGTGAGAGCTATCCAAGTAAACAACAAGTCAAAACTCGCTTCTTACCCCTGAGTTGAGCTCGTAAGCTTGCTCAGTGATTTCCTTATTGACAGTAGCTAGCACGTGGGAAGACATCCTTTTGGAGATGAAGATTACCTAAGAGCAATATCCTCATAGATAACTTGTCATCTTCTAGGAAGGTTTGTGGTTTCATCATATCATCCAATGTATGCATACCGACTTTCCTAATGTCGCCTGTCTTTTGGCGAGTCAATTGCTTATACACCTGAGTCTGACGTCGTTGAGGCGGTAAGTATATACCTACATTTTAAACACTTCAACCAAGCAAACTTGGCAATTACCGGTCATACCTAGATGTTCAATACATTTTGCTTGTTTTAACTGCCGGATATTTGGCTTTTGTTGTTGTCGTGGACTCGTGGTGAAGACGTGGTACAAAAGTTTAGTAGTCTCGCTAGTCAGTCTCGGTAGTTTCGGTAGTCTACTTGTACACCAGTATAGCACTACGTCATCCCGCCCCACCCACCAATCAACGGCTGTGTTGATCCCTTTACTCAAGTACTCATACGCTTGCCCACATGCATAAATCTGCTTCATCGACGTCAGTCGTCAGTTCCTTTTATATTTTAGCAAGTACGAGTATAGGTAGGTAAAGATTTTCACAACTCTCGACTCACAAATTCTGATCCCATAAAAGTACCTACACGGCGGTTGGCATCGAGATACGGTACAAGTGTAAAGAACCTTCATGAAGTATTCTTGCATACCCCGCTCCCACTCCCACTCCAAAAAATCCCGCGGCCAAGAAGCTGCTTCCACTGCCACTTCCCCACCGAATCCACCTACGGTAAGATCCTACCACATCCTACCCACCGTCAACAGATCGGCGACGACATACATGCGTTGATTAAAGTCAAGGTTCTGACCAAAACATTTTGCATGCAGAGAATCACTCCAACCATGTCCGGAAGTCCTGGATTACCCGGCACCCATCCGGTCACTATGCCGCTTCGAAGTGCCACGAGCATGAGCGACGATGCTGCAGTTCCAGAGGTTGATCCGTCTTCGGTACGTCAACACCTAGAGTCGCAATCGAGTGCGTGTGAATGCCTCAGGACGGGTACTGACATTTTCGATTCTTCGCAGACATCGGGTCTTCTTGCTGAACGGCTGCAAGCATGGAAGCATGCCGTGGGATATCTCGAAGACTATGTTACGGCTACGGAAAAAGTGGAAAAGCTGTATGCGAAGGAGTATGAAAAGATATTGAAGGCATGTGACTATCTACATGTATCGTCCTGTGGTTCTAACGACATTTCAGACCATTAACAATCCTCTGAAAGAAGGGCATCATTTTGACCAAGGTCTTGGCGGTATCGCAGGTCTCTTTGAGAACATGCGGCAAAACACCCAGGTAACTTCCATTATGACCCTTTACCGTTCCCTGAACTGATAGCTTCTAGGGCTTGGCCAATACCCATCTCGAAACCGAACAAAACATCAAAGGCACCGTCTTACCTATCCTCGATCGACTACACAAGGAAATCAAGGCCAAGAATAAGGAGCTTTCTTCTGGGGCAGCTAAGGGGGCAAAAGAGGTTGACAAGGCACGAAACAATACTCAGAAGTTCATTGAGCTCCTCGGCCAGCAGACTGCGAGCTATGAGTCCACTGGTGGGAAAATGACGGCGCAAGATGATCCGTATGTTGTTCGAAGGGGCGTTCTACATCGATTGTCTGCGCAGGTTCTGCATGAAAACAACAACAAACATGATCTAATTGCGATACAAAATAATTTTGCAACCTTCGAGCACCACGTTATCGAAGTAATCCAGCAGGCCTTGATGGCTTTCAACCAGTTTGTTTCGGGACAAGCCCAAAAACAACAAGAGCTATACTCAAACATGCTGGCGACCGCCCAAGCGATTCCTGGGGAATTCGAGTGGATGAACTTCGTTTCTCGAAACGGGAGTATTTTAATTGACCCCAACTCCCCAGACCGCACTGTTGAAAGCATTCATTTCCCTAACATGGACCATCAAAGTACAAAGCCTTTGATTGAGGGTACACTTGAGAGAAAGTCAAGGAATAAACTCAGCATGTCTGGATACTCCACCGGATACTATGTTATTACACCTTCGAAATTCTTGCACGAGTTCAAGAGTAACGACAATTTCGCGAAGGACCCAACTCCGGAACTTTCCATCTATCTTCCGGACGCTGTGATTGGGGCAACCAATGGAGAAAAGTTCAATGTGAAAGGCAAAGATTTGAGCGGTGGCATTGGAAGCAAGCTCTCGGGATCTTCTGAAATTGCTTTCAAGGCCCATTCTCCATCGGACGCGCAGAAATGGCACGAAATCATCAAATCATCATCATCTGCCTCTGGTCCAGGTCTGCTTCACACCAACAGTATTGCGGCCTCGAGTATGGGAAGCACACCAGGATCTCCTATGAGTTCTGTAGATAAGACATCTTCACAACAAACTCAGGGAATAACTGGGCAAGAGACTGTTGCTTCGCCGGTATCTGCCACACCTATGAGTCCTATTGACAAGAAGCCATCTCCTCCAGCTGCTGAGAAATCTTAAGGGTATGAAGGGTTCAATGAAAAGCTCAAGATAATGCGCATTTTCTCTATGAACGTGATGACTTGGCGGATTCTTGTAATGTTTAAAAACTAGTCATGATTGAACGAATGAAATAGTTTAATAGCATCTGGGGTTGTGTGCATGCAGAATTCGTCAAATATTTTTGTTCTTGTAGTACTAATTCCGATCATGATTATGATAGACAACAAAAGTGAAAGTGAGTGAGTGCTACTGTTCAAAATTTCTTGGTAGTTCAAGTGATGAACCTAGATGTGATACACTGATATTTGGGTGTGTTTATCTAACTCTCTTACTTTATATTATCGGATTATTCAGATTATCCCAAGCTTCCAAATCAGCTTAAAAGTATTCAAGAGTAGTGATTCAGTGAACAAAATTCAACAAATATGCAGACCTACTGTTATTCATAACGTCTAACATACACGTGGTTTTAGGTATTCCCTACACAAATCTTATGGAACTATTTGTTTGGCTTTTATAATTTGGTTGAGGGAGAATGGAAAGACAAGACTGTAGTTTTGAGATAACACATGATTTTCGCTTAGTCGTTTTCTAAATGTTTAGCTCACAGCAATACTATGAGAACCTCCTCCCATCATCAAAACCACACTATCTCCCACAAGTCTAGTCCCCAAGTCCTCCACACCCACTCCATCAACCTCAATGCTTGATATCTCTCCCTCAATCAAGCAAGGCAGTATAACCTCCCCGGTAGTTCCATCCGGAACACTAAACTCTGCCGTATACCCCCCTCCCTCAACCACCCAGCGCGCTCTAAACTTCCCCAAACTCGTCACGAATCCCCCCTCCACCGTCTTCAAATCCCCAAACTGCGGCACAAGTCTCCAAGTTCTTCCCACGGGGCTCGTAACACTTAGTCCTAGAACAAACTCTGTCAAGGCGCTGGTGGGACCCGAGCTCCATCCGTGGGCATGCGAGATGTAACTCGCATCATTCGCATACCCGCGCGTGTCACGGTACCCGAACGAGCCATCGGTGAGGTATCCTTCTATTACTGTGCTTCCTGTGCCATTTGGGTGGTTGAGATACCAACCCCAACCCCGTCGTATGAGGTCGAGCGCCCGCTGTGTCTGTCGGATTGTGAAGTGTCCTTGGATTTCGAAGCTTGAGATGAAGGGGGAGATGTTCCGGGGGAGTTCGGGGGTTTCGGCGCCGATGGGTGTCCAATTTTTTAAGNAGTGTCCTTGGATTTCGAAGCTTGAGATGAAGGGGGAGATGTTCCGGGGGAGTTCGGGGGTTTCGGCGCCGATGGGTGTCCAATTTTTTAAGAGGTTCGTGGAGATGGATTCTGCTACTTGGGGGGAGTCGACGAGGGAGAAGAGGAGGGCTAGGCTGTTCGCGTCTTGGGGGCAGAGGGTTGTGGATGTGGCGTTGTCTTTGAAGGAGCCGTAGGGGGTGTCGAAGCAGTATTTGTTTATGGCGATTTTGAGGGTTGCGGCTTGGTTTTTCCAGGTTGAGGTGAGGTTTGTGGTGTCGTCCATCCAGGTTGAGAGGGAGGCTCCTGTGAGGAGTGCTCGGTATAGACTATTAAGTATTGGGGAGTTTGCAGGTGAAATGAGGGCCCTGGTTTCTTACATCATGTTCGCTTGAGTATTGTTATATCCAGTTTGCCATCTTGCCCAGTCTCGGAGGCCAGTGACGTTTAAGAGGCCTACTGAATCGACTTTTGCATAGATGAAATCCATTGCTTTGAGATACTTGGCCCAATTTTGCTGCATCCACGCCGTATCGTTGGTATACAAGACGTAGTTATAAGAACCGATCATCGTCCACACTGAGTCTCATTAGCGAGCAAAAAGTGTCTTGTGAGTTGGTAATATACTATGATAAGTATCACTTCCCAGCTGAAGTAGCGGTGGACCTGCTTCAGGAAAAGCCCCAGTCGTGGGATTCTACGACTTCGTAAGAACTCATCTTTTCCAGAGAAACCGAGACAAACCTGATAATCATACATAACTTGCAATGCATTCCTAATAGAGTCCAGCTCCCCAGTACTCACATGAACAGAAGGCACCGCAATCCCCATATCACCCGGCCAAACCGCTCGATCTCTCTTCGCACCATCCATAATAATAGTATCCCCCGGCCCAAGAGTCCCATTATTAACCCAACCAGTTTTCAACATCGGCACCCACCTCCCGGTATTCACAGGCGCAGCATTCGTTTGCAACGTATACGCACCACTATACCAAATCCTATTCAACATCTCATCATTACTGTGGAAATATCCTTGGTAAGCGCGTAAATTCGACCACGTAGGTTGGAACCCAATCTCCAGCTTGATATCCGTGATGTCCACACTCGTATTTCCACCCGTGAGTAAGAAGATAGTCAAGTATCGAAAACCACCTCGAAGTGAGACGTCGGGCATGATATACGACCCCGTCCCCGCGCTGGAAAACTCAGCGTACAATGCCCCATCGGGACCTTGATGGAGACCATTCGAAGCATCTGAGAATTCCCCGATCCAATTTTTCGCTTCTGTGAATGCTAATCCTAGGGATCCGACGCCATCAGAGGTATAATTTAACGTGATGAGTCCGCCTACTTCGATGCCGAAGTCGAAGACTAGTTGTGAGCCGTTTCATTGTAGTTTGGCTGCGCCTGGGTAAGAGGAAATGATGTCTCCTATTTGACGGGATAATATGGATTTGGGAGAGATGGTTCGGGATGGTGGGGCGTAGATGTTTTCTTCCCATGATCCTGGGAAGGCAGTTTCTGTTGGGCCGGTACATGGTGTTTGTCTCCAGCAGGATTGTGCGGGTGAGAGGGTTAAGAGGGTGAGGAATGATAGAATTATAGCGTGGGGATTTGTTGAGCCCATGGTGGTGAGAGTATATAAGTTACGAATTTACAAGTTGTACCAACTTTGGATATACAGTATGAGATTATACTTACTATGATACTTCAAAAATGTTTCCTCGCACCATTGGTAGAACTTCTACCGAAGGACACTAGGTAGTGTCATGTCGGTAGGAAATCCTCCGAATGGAGAGAATTTTCCGTCTCTTGAACCTTGGGATATATCCTAGTAAACATTCGTGATTGTAACGAGAAGCTGATGGATAGGGTAATTCCTTATAACGTGACCAGAAGAGGGGTATTGGTAAGATACCTAGGTACTGGTACCTGGTCCTTATTCTGTACAAACTATAAAAAACGTTATTATACCAAACTTCTAGTATAAGTAACATAAATATCTTAGGATGCCTAGGCTAATAAAAATTAAGTGTCAACAGCTATTCCAACCCTTTTATAACTCTTTTAGTTGTGCGAGGCTTTTAAGATAATATCATTGTAAGAAAGGTGTGTGCAGAGTAACGACCACGTCTAATACCTGGATAGTGAAAAGTGGCATATGTTGCTCTTTATTTTATTTTCAACGTTCTAGGGCAATGGAGGGGAATGGAAGTTATTATCCTAGATTTCTAGGTTAATCCATTAATGTAATTGGGATATTCTGAACGACGAAGACTTGTATAAAAAATCAGAACAAGGAGACCCTTTACTGTTGAATTTCTTCATCAATCGACGTTCCCCAGATTTTTTATACTCAGCTTCCCCGCATTTTCAACCCCGCTGCATCCGGGTAGGTAGGGTGGGAAACCTTGCCTTGAGTTTCACACCCGTCTGCGTTTGTAATTTTTTTTGTGATAGTTAAGGAATCCATCCAAAACAAGTCCAGCTGCTGAAGCATTGCGTGCAATAGGTATTCAACCAAGTTCCTACCCGTGGACGTACGAATTCCTAGTGATGGCATGTGAAGGCAAAAGTGTCCGACGGGATCGGGCCTACTGCAATTTGCAGCGGGACCGCCTCATCCGCTCATCATACAAGATTCTCCTCGTTCCAGTTCCCATAAAGACTCCCTCATAAATTGTCAACATCGCCCTTGGTCTAAACACATCGGACTCGGCGTTTCGAAATTCCCAGATATCTATATACATTGGCATGCTTCATCTCATGTCGAGTCAGTTCCTTTTTGGGCGTGGGCACAGGCCGACTTGACTAAAGGGGCTTAGGGGAAAGAAGCAAAATAAGCGTTGGTGGCGATGGAGGGGTGAAGGATTTAAGGTTGGCTCCTCGAGGCTCCTGTGGGCGTGATGTTGGATGCTTCGCCGCTTGAAGAAATTGTGAACGGAGTTACGGAGTACTTAACGACGACAGTTGGAAGGACTGACAATGTCTTATTTATTTAGTGCGAGGACACAACCTTACAGTGCTGAGGCAGAAACATATGCATATGTGCTAGCATATGTGCTATTTTTAGGAAGACGCTGGTTGGGTTGTGGTGAAAAGGGGAGGAAGACACTTTTTGCACACTGATCTGGTCATGAGCCGGGCGCCAAAGACAAGTGACAGTTAATCTCAAGATATCCAGGCTGTCAGATTCAGTAATAGGGGAACCGAAATTCCATGCAATACCTGCAATGTAACTCGACCACTGCAAGCCATTATCCAAGCTACCTACGGAGGTACTTGGCGAATTATGTATTATGCATATAAGCACTTTGTAGCTCCAAAATTGCTTGCTTGTATCTTGACACATTCACACAATATTTAAAAGATGTTACTCAAAGACAGGTAGAACAGTGAATTTGACGTCGGCAGAGCAATTGTACGAGGAGCTGAATACTCCCGGCACATTTGGAAACATGGAAGGTCAGTGCCTACCTGGTGAACCATGTAAAGGTACAGGTCATGGCCACTTTGGACTCTACTAAACCGTGCAGCTCAGAAAGGGGCCAGGAGCAGAGCTTCGCTTACCCCAGACGTACTCGAGTAGAGTAAATAATGGCTCTCTGAATGCCCTCTTCAGACGTTATTTATATGCACCGAGTTTCATGTGATTCTGAAGCGTGGAGGAGATTCAGATAGAGGATACGAGTATTCAGAGATTTGCATCGAAGAGCCTACCCACACTGTTCCAGTTGACACTCTAGAAGGCGACGCCAACCCCCTACCCTGCCTCGCTCTGCTCCACAGTAAAATCGCACCAAAATGGAACCTACGCCAACCGCCCAAGCGCCTCTTGCGCCCACCAAACCCTCTCACCCTCCGCTACGCGCCGCTTTAACTTAATCGGCTAACCCTGACCAACCTTAACGACATCTCCGGCTCAGTTCCCTTTGAACAACTCCAGCATTTGCTTTTGACTCCAACCTCCCCTCCCGCTCCCGCTCCTGCGATGACGATATTCCCTAATCCATAACCGTCCTTGACATATTTTACTCGACGGCTTTAAATTGCTTCAACACAGTTACAGCCCTTCCCGATGCACAGCGAATCGCAGCAGTTCTTCGAGCGGTGCTAGTGTTAGTTGCGAAAGCAGAAGGCAAGGGGAACATTCCTTGGGATCGCAGCCCCGATGAAGGTATGTACTGTACACTTTCTGCAGCAGGTTCCGCACGCCTTTGCACACCTGTGAATCACCATCTTCTCTTCGCAGCCACTCGGCCTGGCCGAACGACGGCGAGCTCGCCCTGTTGTGCCGCGTTCCACGACTCGAAACATCAGATCTCGAAATACCAATACCAATACTACTCTGCATGTACATGTTGTCGCTGACCATTTCTTCTCCTCGGCAGACTTCTTCAAGACCAAGAGAACTCGGCGGGAGTTTTGGCAGCAAGCGTGGGCATGCTAACCAGCTGTCCATCAGTGATACCAACCACCACGTCACCGAGGCAAGCTATCCCACACTACGACACCGTAGAGACAGAAAGAGGGTCTAATGATCGACAGGCAATCGGAGACATGTATGGCGATGATCACTACACGAAATCAGACCGACCTCTGAGCTTTGCTCCCGGTCCCCTCAACGATGCCATCGATGGAGGTAGCTCAGACTCGAAACGTATGCCAACGCGACCTTCAGCCAGCACGAATGGGAACCCAAATCAAAAATCGCACACTTCACCAGGCATGAACCAGAGTCCCAGAAGTAGCTCTTTTGACAAGGGACCATTATCCCCCGCCTTATCGCTCCGAGATCATACCGATACTGCTAACACACAGTTTCCCCTCAATGACATAGACTATGAATCGAACCCCGCCGCAGTTGCGCAGGAGCTAAGCAATTTGCAGGCCTTGCGACGCATGTCCATGGACGTGGGAAACCAGAGCGACCCTGATTTGCCGTCCTTTCAAGGGGTATCATTAATGCCATCTGTGGCACCAACGGGCAACGATGACGAAGATGATCCTTCCAGACTTTTTTGGGTACCAGCCAGAGTACATCCTGAACTGGCACCCATGGAGTTTAAGACCTTTCTCGAAAACCGAGTACAGTCGATAAAGCGAAGGTCTGGGGACCAAACATCTCTCGCACCAGGTGGCGTTGAAAGAAATGGATCAGAAAGCAGTCTGAGAAGGAAAAAGTCAATGCTATCACGACAAATCAACAATGAGGGCGGGCGAGGGGCAGTGGGATACAAGGATGGTGCGGAGCAACTCGAGAGGAAGAAGTCCTTATCCGCAAAGCATTCGCCTGATTTAAAAATTTCCGACCTGAAAGAGCTAGATGAATTGGTCAGGGACCCCACCAAAGCAATGCAAAAGCTAAGTCTTGATACGGGAAGACATGCAGGTATTGATGGCTCCGTAATGGAGGAAGATATGCCAATTCTTCCGCAGGCGCCGGGGATAGGGCTGAGACGATCCACGAGGACGACATATAGAAGGGGGAGTCTGAGGAAGGAAGGAAGAGTTCCGTTTGGAAATAGAAAGGGATCGTTACGAGGAGAGACTGATACCGAGGACTCGCCGATCTCTGCTTCGCCAATTGATGTTCGTCAGGGTTTCGGCTATCCACTAACGAAGGTGCAATCGGAGCCGACCACAACTGAAAACTTCTCGAGACCAAGCCGTGGAGGACGTCGCCTACAGAACCTGCCACAGACCAGCCCAAGTAGAGAGGCAAAGCATACATTAGCAGATGTATCACCCGAGGCACAGAGGGAAGAATCCCGGCAACCCCAGCCAGGCCAACCTCCAAGAAGTAACACTGCTGGAAGCGAGGTGCCTGTTCCTCGAATTGTAGAAGTCCCACCCCCACCGGAGGAAAACGTAGAAATGTCGTCCAAAAACAAAATCAGCGCCCTATTCCCAGAGCGATCTTCTTCTCAAAAGCCCGCTCAAGTGATTCAGAAACAATCTATTCCTGAACCTCCAGCGAAATCTAGCAGGCGCCCCACAATCGATAGGGGCCAACCTGTGGACAAAGTCGCGCCGACGTTGAACGACATGGCACAGCATCCCTCACCGCTCCCTGGAAATAGTGCGAGAACCGACGCCTTAACGATCATGCCTACTATGGACGAAAAGAAATCCGAGAAGAAATCCAAGAAGAACAAGGATGATTCAGAGTCTGGATCCAGGAAAACGAGCTGGGGTTGGTTCAAGGGTAGCGATGGAGACAAGAAAGACAAGAAAAAGGACGACGATCACAAGAAGTCAAAGTCTAAAGCGGCTGTCGATAAATCTCACGACACTGCTCGCCTCGACGTTTTGCAATCTACCATGGAAACAAGTCCATCGCGAGGGCGCGAAAGTTTGATAATGGAACGTGATAGTATGGACAGCAAATTGCAAGAGGAGAGAAGCAAGGAGAGTAGTCGTAAATCTGGTAGTGAGAACAAGAAGGAGAAGGATGGATTATTCTCGTCCTTTTTTGGCGGCAAGAAGAAGAGCGACAGGGACTCTGGTGGTAAGAAGGCCAGGTCGGAAAGAGCGCTGTCACCTGATCCTCCGCATCGTCAACTGAAACCAGACATTGATTACAGCTGGACCAGATTTACGATGCTTGAAGAAAGAGCCATTTATCGTATGGCCCACATCAAACTGGCCAATCCCCGCCGAGCATTGTACAGTCAGGTTCTCCTGAGTAATTTCATGTACTCCTACTTGGCCAAGGTTCAACAAATGCACCCTCAAATGAACATTCCTCAGTCGGCTCTGCAAAAGAAGCAAGAAGCTGAGCGCAAACGAAAAGAACAAGAACAACAGGCGAGAGACCGAGGGGAAGAAAATTACCGATATGATTACCATTCAGTAAGTTGCAACTCTCTGTTGTGTAGTCAAAATGCTAATTGAAATTTTCAGGGCATTGCTCAATATGCTGAACAGGCCGCGGAAAATCCAAATGCAACTTCAACTCCACCTCCTCATGAAGGTGGTGGCGGCGTGGAGTATGTTGATGATTCTCAGATCTACGATTATGATCATCAAGACGATGATTCTAATCGGCCGCAATCCCGAGCTTCACAGCACAGTACGGAAAACGGTCAAGGTGATCAATCCCAATCTAATCGTCAAGGAAAGGATTACTATCCTTATGGTCAATCTGGTCAGTCCGGTGGGAAACAAGCACACGGACAAGATGACGACGATGAGATGTGGTAATTTCTGATTGGTATCGTAACCGAGTCTGCAGCTTGTTCTTATGCATTATGTGATGGAGTTAGTGGCGCTTCTATGGATGGATGGATCCCATGGCTCTGGGTTGGTGACCTAGGGAGTACTTTTTGTTGGAAGCATAGCGTCTGGTGGTGGTCTTGCCCTTGTTCTGCATTGATTGGTCCTAGGTTAGGGAGGACTTTTATAATGTCATCTGCTATTGAGAGCATTGCGGATATTTATATGTAACATAGAAATCCGGCTGGCACTTGATGGATGCCGAAGGCACTCAAGTTGGAATGAAAGACGATGAATATTCTTTTGGTTCTCGGATGAAGATCTTCTTTTTGGCTCTTTAGGGCAGAAGGAATTGAGAAGTTGAGCGCGGGACTGAAATGTACATACGGTAGCTGTTCAAGGCGGAAGCGAGGTCACGCCTGGAAGCTCGTAATCTATCTTGGTCCAGTTTTTGTTGTTGTGAGGCCTCTCCAAAATCCCAAAAATCAGGTAAAAATATTCCAGATATAATGCAGATGTTTGATCATCTTGAGGTTGTATAGATAGGAGAATGTTGTGCGAATTAGTGGTTTAATGAATAGGAGCCTGATATGAGGTGTATTTCTCTAGGTGATACCTAGCTTGGCGACACGCAAGAGAGTGACGTTGGGTTGTGGCTGGCGGCTACTGCGTACATCCCGCTAAAGAAGCAATGACCTCAAAGCCTCAACGCCGGCCCGCAGTAGCTTCAGTGCTTCACTCGGGCTATCTATAGCAGTCGCGAACCTCTACTGTACTGGTTGAATCAGCTTGGTCCATTCTACTCCCAAACCCAAATTATTCACTCCCTACTCCCTACGACTACGAACGGTGCGAACGGCGTGCATTTCCCGGCTTCCATAAGGACACCAAATCCACGCATCTAGGGATCGCATACCTCCTTCAAGCTTGACTCAGTTCCTGTTTATTCCCCCGCAGTGGACGGCGGCTTCCCACATCTCGAGCAGAACACGATACCCAGCAAAGATGTTTCGCGCACAGCAGAACGCATTCGACGATGTTGTCGGTAAGTCAGGATAACCGGGAAGCTCTACGAAGGATTGGCCATGAGGCTAACAGCTCTATCCAGCCAAGGCGACCGACGAGAATCTCACCTCGGAGAACTGGGAATATATTATGGATGTTTGCGACAAGGTGACTACAGAGGATAGTGGTGCGAAGGATGCCGTGGCCACCATGATCAAGCGCCTGGCGCATCGAAATGCGAATGTTCAACTGTACACTCTAGAGGTCAGATACCAGATATCCGCCCAGGCAGCCGACTGCGCTCTTACTGATGTTTGCTATAGCTTGCCAACGCCCTCAGCCAGAACTGCGGACCAAAAATGCACCGGGAACTTGCCTCGAGAGCCTTCACAGATGCCCTCCTTCGATTAGCCAGCGATCGTAACACCCACCAACAAGTCAAGGCCAAAATTCTGGAGAGAATGTCTGAATGGGCGGAAATGTTCAAGGACCCTGATCTTGGCATCATGAGAGACCAGTATCAGCGGCTCAAGAGTCAGAACCCAAATCTACATCCTCCGTCGGCCCCTTTGAAGAGTCGACTCACGGATGTGGATCGTCAAAAGGAAGAGGAAGAGTTACAAATGGCGTTAAAGCTCTCAATTCAAGACAAGACTACACAGGCGCAGGCGAAGTCTTCTCAGCCATCGAACGTTATTCCCGGTCCATCTGCGCAGCCTGCTGCCCAAACAAGCGCTGTACCTTCCGGAACAACTGCTGCAACAGTTTCTCGCGTTCGAGCATTATTTGATTTTGAGGCTTCAGATCCTGATGAGTTGACTTTTCGCAAGGGAGATATTATTGCAGTTCTCGAATCAGTATACAAAGATTGGTGGAAGGGCTTCTTGAGAGGACAAACCGGGATTTTTCCATTAAATTATGTGGAGAAACTAGCCGATCCTACACCAGAGGAACTACAGAGAGAGGCTCAGATGGAAGCTGAGGTTTTTGCGGAAATAAAGAATGTTGAGAAGCTTCTTACGTTGTTGAGCACATCTACTTCGGAGCTCAATGTGCGGGATAACGAGGAAATTACAGTATGTTTTTCCTGCATCTATCTTGTTGTGTTGCTAATATTCTGTCCAGAAATTGTATCACTCGACCCTGGCTATTCGCCCAAAGCTTATTGAGCTTATTGGTAAATATTCTCAGCGAAAAGGTAATTTGCCCCAGCTATATCCGAGTCACATGAAATACTAATAGTTGCCAACTAGATGACTTTATACAACTCAACGAAAGATTTATCAAGTCTTGTCGGGATTATGACAATTTACTTGATGCTTCCATGAAACAAGCACAACCGAGCTACCAATATGGGCGGCCAGCGCAAGGATATGGCGGGGGATATCCACCTCAAGCCGCCCCGCCTCAACAAGACCCCCAAAGATTCTATACTCCAAAGCCTCAAGGTAAAGATCATTTTCTCTAATTACTTGATACATCACATACTAAAAATGGGCAGAGCATCCTTATCCTCAAAAACCACCATCTCCACAAGGTTATGCGCCGAAACCGCAAACAGGAACTCCGGCCCCTTTCTATGTCGTAACTCAACAACAACGTCTGCAGCAGCAGCAACAACAACAACAGCATCAACAGCCACAAGCTCCTTCTGAACCTTTTCAACAACAACAATACCCACCACGAGATGCAACACCGCGTATTCCTTCGGCTAGCAAGCTCCCGCCACTCCAGACCAACTCTTCTCCACCTCCAAACCAATACCCTCCACACCAAACACCACATCAAACCCTACCTAGCATTCGTCCTCAGAGCACATATTCCAACAATCCACAAGAACTTGCCACTTCTACTTTTGAGTCGCCAGTAAACCCACAGAACCAAAATGCTCCCTACAACACATCGGTTTATCCCCCGGAGGATTTATATTCAGCCACACCAGCTTTACCCCAACCTCAGCATTATACAGCATATAGTGGACCACCTCAAGCCCAATCTCACCAACCACAACCTAGTTATGCTCCCCCTGAACCCCCACAATCGAGCCACGCACAGACATCTTCGGCTAACGCAGGATATCCAACAATTGGCCAACCATACGACTCGAGACAAACGCTGCCCAGTCAAGGAGTTCCTCCACCTGCTAGTCAGTACAAACCCTACCGACCATCAACAGCAGAAGGCATGGCTCCTTCGGCACCTAGTGCTCCTAGCGCACCTCCGGGAGGACCGGCGGACTTTTATAAGCAGAGTGCTGCGTATTCTGGTTAGGCGGAAATTTTGTAATGGGAGGATTGTGTATGATTGAGAAGATTTTTATGAATTTGGCAGGATCAATTCTGACCCAATCTCGAGGAAGGAAAGGGGATAGGGGCACGCATTGATGCCTATGTATATACAATACAAACCTCTAGGCACGCATAATGAAATCTGATTCTTTATTCTTGAGAAAACAAAAGAGTGATCTTGGGTATATTCATTTCTAAAATTCTTAACAGCCTTCCGCTCTCCTCATTCCATATCCTTCCCACCCACCTGCTCGCAAAGCAACGCCATTGCCAAATCCTCATCTATCAGATAGATTGAAATTAGTATGATATTTCTTCATCAAGTGCCTGGGTGGCGGTGCTGCGAGTCCATGAAAATTTGATGTCACGTACCGTATTCTGGAAACTTCTCTACCATTCCTGCGCTTTCTTCGGTGCTCTTTTCGTTGCTTTTGTCTTTCTTATCCTGATTGTTGTTTTTACCTTCATTTCCCTTCCCCTTTGATGGTGCTGATGAGGATGATGATGATGATGCTGCCGGAGCCGTGTGAGATAAAGGGACGCCTCCTGAGGAAGTAGAGGAGGAACCAGAGGTGGATGAGGAGGAGGAGGAGCCTTCTTGATGACGACCCACGATGACGAAGGAACCGGAGGAGCGGGAGGGAGAGGGGGAGGGGCGCTCTTGACGCAGAGGGAGGATTTGTCCTTGTGGCATTTGAGGTGGGAGGGGGATTGTTGAGGTGGTGGTGATGGTGGGGAGGGGATCTGTGGGGATTGTTAGTAGGGTTTGGTGGCTTAGTTGGGATGGGATGGGAATGGATAGGAATGAATGGGATGGGATGGGAATAGACTTACGGTTGGAATTGGGATTGGGATTGGGATTGGGATTTGGGTTGGGGGTAGATATTGTCATTGTCCTTTTTCTTTGCATGGTGCTTTGTAGGGGTGTGTTTGTGATGCTGGTGAATTGTGTTAGCTTCAATCCCGTTTCTAGTTGATTTATATTCCAAGTATACAGTATATACGTGAAGTCAAAATCTGGGATCAAAGAAAGAGTGTTAGATAAATACCGATTTCCAGATATCTTTGTATTTCTGGTAGTGCTGTATAAGGGTTTGTCGGTTTATATTCATGCGAGGGGAGTGGGTAATAGGTGAAAGTTAAGTTGGGGTAGGAGGTCGGGTTGGGATTTAATTACCGACAGAGAAACAAGACAGAAGGTCGGAAATTAGGGGTGGGTTTCATTAGATGAGGACTAGAGTTTTTGTAGTGAATAGGGTTTTTGTAGGAGGTGAATAGGGAAAGGGTAATAGGGAAGGGGTAGGAGGCTCGCTTAGGGGGTTAGGTAGGGTGTGTTTGCTTCTACTATTTGGTGCAGATGGTGAATTATAGTTATCTTATATGGATTCTTTTCTTCTTCTTTGTTTTATTTCTTTTAGGATTTTAGAGGTTTAAATTTAGTAAATTGGATAAAGAAATAGAAAGTAAATTAAAATCTTACGCTGCTTATAAGTTAGATAGAGTGAGATTTTTATTATAGGAAAGGCTTTTTAATTATAATTTGTTATAGTTAGTTGAGTAGTTAGGAAAATAATTCTTTTTATAGGGAATTTAGAGGGGGTTAGTTTTTATATTTTAGTTTATTAGAGGGAGGTATAGGTCAGAGATATTATTGTTTTGAGGTTATTTAAGGAGTTAGGGTATTGTTTTTATTTAGATAGAGATTAGATAAATAATTCTAGTAGTTTATTTATTCTTCTATATAGGTTGTTAATTAAGGTACTAGTATTCCTACCTATTCTAACTATTCACTTGAATACATTTAGAATAAATATATCCTACCTATTCACTTAAAAACTACTACTAAACTATACGTTTTAATTGGTTAGAAAAGCGTCTAGAATTCTATAGAACTCCCAGGATTCTAGAGGCTAATCGATAGAACCATTCTATTCTATTTTATAGGGGATATTTTTATATCACATGCGGACAAACAACCGACAAGAGCTAGCGGCGGGGGTGGAGATTATCAACAACTTTATATTTCCTGCCCGAGAGTAGGATACGTGGGCTCTCTCTTTCTAGCCTACCACCATCCCCATTTATATACTACCATTTGTATCCCTACTGTTGTAGCTAGCCTTTTTGTTTCTAAATAGAGATAGAAAGAGCGTGATAGCACTCTGGCGCTCTCTGAACTCCAGGTGCTGGTCCCGTATATGTGCCACTTCACCCGTAACCACTGACTAGGACGGACGTGAATGTTAAAAGTGCTCTACAAGTATTCTATATAGGATATTCCACCTAGAATTCCATAGAGTATGGTTCCACCGGCCGAGCGTTGGCAAACTGAACCTGGACAGACTGCGGCGGTTGGGGTAGGAGAGGAAGGTGGAAATAGGAACAGGTATGCTATATAGTAAGATTCGGTTAGTGAAACGATCGTGGTCCAGTACTTTTGATAATCTAAAGAATAGCCGGGGGATTCTCTCTTGACAAGGCTGGATTGCTAAGACGACTACGGGATTGGAGGATATTGCTGTCTGAGTCGAACGTGGTTGGGAAGAAGTGGTAGCGTTGCTTGGCTGTTAAACCTTTGCAAAGTCTGAGGACAGCAGCCAGGGCATCACAGAGATTTTGGTGAGGGCATACGCCGTTACAACCGGTGATGTCAATAGGGTTTGGTGGATCAATTTCTGGAATGACTTCTACGTGGAGGTTCGCAAAAGAATCGATCGTATTATTGTTCTCTCTCGTTAGAGAGAGAGTCTGCGAGAAGGTGGTGTTAGTAAAATCAAGGCAATAGTAAATCAGCTAAACCTCTTTTGGAACTTTATTCACAGGGAGTTATATGAGGATTTGAGTAGATTAGTGAATAGGGGCTGTTAATAGGGATACCTCGCTTAGTGAATGTTGCGCGGGGTAGGAGTTACCTTTCGGGGATGGTATAAACTCTTAACGAGTATAAATAATAGCTAGCCTTTATATCTCTTTCGCTCCTTACTATTAATCTCAACTCTATTCTAGAACTGTCCTTGTACGCCCCTAATAATACCCCGAAAGTATTTGAATAGCATTTATAGAGCAAAAGCTTCGTTTCTTATTGAGCTCTATAAAACAGAATAGAGTTTTGTAGTTAGTAGTCTAGTAAAGCCGCAAGATGATTTATGTCTCCTGCGTCTAATTTCTTCCTAGAGATTTCAATGTATTCATTATCTATGATATGGTGTTTAGGCAATTTGGATGACCCGAAGTAAGATTTAAAGGATACTCTTATGCCATTCAAGATTCGGTTGCCTTACGTGAGTTCTTGATCGCTGTCTATAATCCGAAATACAGACGTCGAATTCAAGGAGGAGTAGCGGAAGGCTAATTTAGAACACAGAGAACGCTAAGTATGCCAAAGACAGTTCTAGGGTAGTGTATCGCATAAAATGTTGTTTCTCATGGTGTAACCCACGTTAATAAAAATCAGCCATTGCAAAAGAACACTTTCCTCACATTTTTGCTCTTCATGACGTGCGATGATGAGCTCACCAACTGCCTACAGATCTGAGAGAAAGAAGTTATGCTAAAGCAGGAATGGGCGGCAGTCATTTAAGAAAAATCTCCCTTCTCCTCCCACCAACCCCCAACGATGGATAAGTCTCAACCACAATTTCTTATTCCTATCTTTCCATTAATAACTCATTCAGAATTTGACTCGCTCCCTGTGACAGTTTTTGATTTAGTGAATAAGGGTTCACTTAGCGAAGTTGCGGGTGTACCCTTCCGTAGATAGACAAATACCTAAGGAGTGCGAAGAGCGTCTCTCTTCCCTCCTTGCGAACAATCTATTCCTTGATCCCCACCATAACAATCCCTCAACACGAGCGAAATGGTGAAAAGTTTTAGATCCTCCACCCCCTTTCCCATAAGTGCGTTTTTGCAATCTCCAGTATAGTCATATTCTGTATGAGGAAGTAGTTTCACATCTTGTCGAATCGTAGCTATCTCAAAGATATTGGGTACCTGAAGTAGCGAGAAGGAGGAGGAGAGCGCTGATTGTGAGGTTGGAATACATAATGTTGATATAAGGATTCGTAGGTTTGAAGGGAGGTGTTTTGTAATATTGTAACGGGTTTGTGACGGTAGAAGAGGGACTTGTGGATTTGAGTGTAAGGTGGGTATTTGAGATGATGTGTTTTGTAGATGGGATGATGGCGTGGTATGAAGTGGATCGCTGGGAGTGAATAAAACTTTTTGTTTATTTGAGAGCTAAGAAAAAATTGAGCCCTTGTTGGGGTTGGGAGATGGTGAGGTGGAGTTGAAGGTTGTTAGGTGAGGCGCGGATGGGCATGTAGATAGGATGTGATATTTAGTTAATTGTTTCATTAGCGTGGTAACTTGAACAGTTGCGTACAGTAAACTACCTAGTATCTATTAGCCGCCACTATTAATTCCTATATCCTCTATGATGGGAGTACGAGAGCATAGCGGGTGCAGGACTTGGAAACTAGATGTAAAAGTAACTCGTAAGACGAGACTTTATTAAATTATTCTATCTATTATTAAGTCCTTAATTTCACCCATCGAGTCACCAAAATCGCGGTCCATTCCACTTGTGAGAATCTAAGCTAGTTATTAGTTTATACGTTTAAACTATCTAGAGAATTACTTTATAGTAAAATATAATAGAGGGGGTAGGAGTGAGATGACAATATTATTCTTAGGTTTTACGTTATTTTACGTTATTTTACGTTACGATTAACCCTTGATTCTATAATCTAAGAGGAATAAAGGTAACAAGCCCAGGGGGAGTAGGAAAAACCCCCCCAAAAAAGAGAGAAAAGAATTCTACTTCATAGTAATTTACTCTCATCCCATAAGTTTTCTTTTCGGATGATTCTCGAGTTAAGATATATACGCGAAGCAGCGAACGAAATAAATAGTAACAGCGACGTAAAAAATATCAATCAATTGCTATGGAAGAACTCGCTCTAGAATTATAGAAGTATACTATACAAGTAGACGTAAGAGGGAAAGGAGAAGAAGATATATGACGTAAGATAGTCAGTCAGTCGTTTTCTTGCTATGAAGATGTCCGAATTGAATTAGGAACGAGAATAACCCCCCTTCCTTCTAAATCACCTACAAGAGAACTCCCCCGACCCTCTACTTATACCGCAAAATTCTCCAGATTCCCTTTGTAACAAAAGAAAACCAGAAGAAAAAAACTAGAAGAAAAAGAAAGAGAAAAAAAACCTACATAATACCAACCATCCACCCTCCAAACCCATCCCCTCCCATCAATCCCCTCCCACAAACAACACACTAAAAATAGCCCATCCACCCATCCCTCTCACACCCTACCCATCCCATCCACCCTCGCCCAGCCCAGCCTCCAACAAACCCCCTCCCCCAAACAAGCACCGCACCTCACCGCACCTCACCAAAGCAGACAGACTGCCCCCAAAAAATCTTTTGTTGCATGTAGCAGTGTGTGTTCATCGACGATTCAATGCCTCCGACCCCATCGATGCAGGTTGTCGTGCCCCCTGATCCGATGTGTGGCGGTGCCGGGGGTCGTGATCGGGCGGGTTAATGGGCGATGCCAAGGTTGGGATGGGGGGTGGCGATCGTGTGGTGTGTTTTTGTGGGGAGNCCCCCTGATCCGATGTGTGGCGGTGCCGGGGGTCGTGATCGGGCGGGTTAATGGGCGATGCCAAGGTTGGGATGGGGGGTGGCGATCGTGTGGTGTGTTTTTGTGGGGAGTGTGGAGTGGAGTGGCGAGGAGAGTGTGAGATGGGATGGGATGGGGATGAGGTTGAGGGAGAGGGGTTGGATTGGTGATGGAGGGAGGAGGGAGAGGGAGGAGGGAGGAGAGAGGAGAGAGGAGGAGGAGATGGGAGAGAGATAGGAGGGATAGAGAAAGTTGGAGAGAGGAAAGTTTGTTGACTGGCAAAGTCACGACTGGTCACTGGTTTAGAGAGCGGACGACTCGGGGGTTCTTCGGGAGTGTGCGTTTCGTTTACAGAGAGGCCTCTACTGGTGTCCAATTATCCATCACTAAGAAGACATCTAGAATCTCATGAATTGTGATAGAAAATTGTGAATCATTGAATTACTACTTACACTAATCTCCAGTCTGTTGTAGAAAAGGGTTGGTATGTAAAATGAAATTTCCACATATGCGAAGGTACTGTATTAAAAGCTTCGAACAAGCACTTAGGGGGTTAGATTCCGTTCCTTATTCGAGTACCTACTACGACTTAATAATTTAGTACCCAGTGAAAGAGGAACTATATCGAGAAATCCAAAAGGGTCATTCAATTCATGAATCCCAGTCTGAGAGTCGCCTCTATGAATTCTTCATTCAAGAAAGGAAGAAAAAATCAAGACAACGGCCAATCCCAAAACGCCATCCCAACCAGACTCCCAAAAAAACACCTCCCTCGCCAAATACAAAAACCCCCCTATTAACCTACCCCTTTTAACACCCAACCTTCACACCTTCTTGACAACAAGCCGTCAACGCAACCCTAGGAACCCACTCCCTATCCCCACCCCTCCCCTCCAACCCCCCAAGCACCTGCACCAACCTCACAATCGTATACCCCGCCTCGGTCAGGGCATACTGCTGGCCAACACAGATCCGTGGTCCACCATTGAAAGGTAGGTATCCCCATCCGGGCCTCAGGACCTTTGCGTTTTTACCAGAGGAAGAGGGGGGCCAGGAGGAGTCCCAGCGTTCGGGACGGAATTCAGAGGCGTCGGGTCCGTAGATGTCGGTTCGTCGGTGGAGTGCGTAGACGGAGTAGGCTACTATTCCGCCGCGGGGGATGAAGAGGGGGTGTTGGCCGTTGGTGCCGCCGCCTAGGGGGAGGATGGTGTCTTTGAGGGCGTAGCGAGCGTTGGCTGGGACGGGGGGGAAAAGGCGGAG